ACGAAATGGATCTTTTTATATACAGCTAAACAAGTTTCCGGTAACTTCCGAAGCACATTTTTAAGAACTTTTTGGGTCAAATTCAAATATAATCATTTCATTAAGTTCTCGACTCCAAACTCACATGTGAGGCTCTAGTTTCACTCTATCATTTTCCGAGTCGTTACATCAACTGTCAAGGAGATGTGGGAATGCTTGAAATAAGCTTATCTTCAAGCAACAAGAGATAAGGAGTTCCAGCTCAAACAACAACTGTAAAGTGTGAAGCTAGGAATCAAAACAATTGCCGAATATATTAAGGAATTCAAAGGTATATGTGATGGCCTTGTAGCCATTCACAAGCCTGTAGATGAAGATAGCAAAGTGATTAATTTTGCTAGAGGTCTAGGTATTAAGTACAAGACCTTTAGGTAAGGCACCATATCTTATTTTTAATCAATTTGTTAATGCTCTCAAGGGTTTTCTTACGAGGGAATATGAAGAAGAAGTGCCCCAACAAAACCATAACATGACATTCTCTGCCCAAAGGGGTAGGGGAAGAGGAAACTACTCTCAAAGAAGAGGAAATAATAACTTCAATTCCAGAGGAAGAGGCTTCAAACCTGCTGGACAAGGAACATGTTCTTATAACAGCATAAACGGACCAGGTCCTCAGAACAATCTTTCAAGTGGAAGTTATGAGAGGAACAATACTGATGCGTGTCAAATTTGTGGTAAGAATAACCACACTGCTCATAAGTGTTTTTACACATGGTATTACTCTTACCAAGCCACAGATGAGCTACCACAAACATTGGCTTCTACTAACCTTCAAAACACTACTGATGACACCTTGTATGTGGACTCAGGAGCAAGTAGCCATATGACACATAACTCAGGTATCCTAACTGATCTTAAACACTATAATGGACCAGATAAAATTATTATTGGGAATGGATCAAAGTTAGACATAACACATGTTAGGAACATATCCGGATCAGGTCTAAAGTTAAAAGAAGTTCTTGAAGTTCCTAAGATTAAGAAAAAAATACTCTCAGTTAGTAAGCTTGCAAAGGATAATTGTTGCACTCTTGAATTTGATGAAACTAACTTTGTTGTAAAGGATAAGAGGACAAGGACACTGCTGGCCAAGGGATCTAAAAGGAATGAACTCTATGCTTTGGAAAATAATAATCTCTATGCTTTAACTGCTGCACACGATTGGAACACGTCAGGCAACATGTGGCATACTAAATTAGGACACCCTAGTTTGAAGTATTTAAAAGTTTTGAGTAGTAATAGTTTCATCAATATTAGTAGTTGGAATAAAATGCCTACTGTTTGTTCTAGTTGTCAGTTGGGAAAAAGTTGTAAACTTCCATTTGGTTTGAGAAATAAAATAGAGAAAGAACCTTTATTGAAAATTCCTTGTGACTTATGGGGACTTGCTCTTGTCGAATCTTCCCAACATATGAAATATTAAGTCATATTTGTTGATGATCACACGAAATATATATGGATTTATCTACTGAAAAGAAATCTGAATTCTTTGAGGTCTTTCTAAAATTTCAGAAAATGGTGGAAAAATAATTTTCTAAAGAGATTAAAATTTTTCAGTGTGATGTAGGGATAGCGTCATTAGAAATAGATTCATGCATCGCAAGAAAAAAAATTAATGCATCACGAGAAAAGAGATTCATGCATCGCAAGAGAAGATTCATGCATTGCGGGAAAAAGATTCATGCACCACGAGAAAAGAGATTCATGCATCGCAAGAGAATATTCATGCATTGCAAGAAAAGAGATTCATGCATCGCAAGGGAAGATTCATGCATCGCGGGAAAAAGATTCCTGCATCGCGGGAAAAAAATTCATGCATCACGGGAAAAAGATTCATGCATCGCGAGAAAAGAGATTCATGCATCGCAAGAGAAGATTCATGCATTGCAAGAAAAAGATTCATGCATCACGAGAAAAGAGATTCATGCATCGCGGGAAAAAGATTCATGCATCGCAAGATAAGATTCATGCAGAGCGGGAAAAAGATTCCTACATCGCAAGATAAGGATTCATGCATGGCATGAGAACGAGTTATGCATCGCAATAGAAAGATTTGCCCATCACAAGAGAATCAACATCAACTACATCATTTTTCTTTGCAAAGACGAGATCAAGAGAACCATCAACATATTACATCAGCTTATTTTATTGCTTTGACATTCAAAGGAAGAGTACATTGAAGATTATATTGCAAATATGAGACACAAACTTTATTTGCTTCACGTCAAACCCGATAGAATTGACGTCAAATGTTCAAGGAGAACAATTAAGTGTCA